GCGATTAGAGTGTGAAATTCTTCGTGTGCTGATAGCACCCATTCAGGAGCATATCTGACATTGACTATTTCAGATTCACTAGCAGTGGATGTAGGACTGACTGTTGCTTCGCTCGCCAAACTTGTTTTGGTTGTGGATTTTCGAACAACTGCCGGTCGGGCTGAATGGCTTGGTGGCTTTGGTGCGGGTGCTTTCTTCTTTTTCACTTGATTAAATTTTAGAGCCATTTCAAATTTATCGATCCATTCATTCTGAAAGGGATAAATAGATCTCGTGGTCAGTTGATTTGAAATTTGCAAAAGGAAAATATATTGTATTTTAAATGTACCTTCGTCGTTACACTTATACATTGGAAAATTTTCGAATCATCTGGTGTGATGACATTAATTGCATTTTTCACACCATCTAAATCTTTTATATTGATTACAGCTATTTTTGTCGCATCATACTGAGCAGCATATTCCAGTTTCCTGTTTCAGAAAAGCACAAAAGAAATTAACTGGGCCCAAAAGTGAAATTGTAAAATTTTTAATTTACTTATCATGCTTCACTTTTCCCACGATAAGCAAATCATTTAAGAGGAAGAAATAAACGCGACAAATCGGACGATAATATTTTTCTGCATCCAATTCGATTAGAGCACCTTCGTGTAGAAAGGTTTTATTTTCTAAATTTCCAGTGAAACCAATCAAGGATTCCTGTATTGCAGCAAGTGCTCGCTTATTTTGGATTTCATCTTTGTCCGCATCTGCAAATAAAAAATTCATTTCATTCACTTTCTGCAATGAAATGAATTTCAATTATGATTTTACCATTTGTCGGCTCATTTAATAATACACCTTTTGTATCGTCAACTGAGTACTGTTCACGCAATGTTGATAAAATGTTTCGTTGTTCAATCAGCAAGTGTGATAATTGATACATTTCGGATTCCAGATCTAAAGAAACAAAAAATTATGATATGATTAGCATTTGACTGGTGTCGATATTGGAGGGCATATTATACGTGAAATCTCCTTAGCGGTCTCGATGAACTGCATGTAATTGGCATAAACATGTTTTTTCAATGACGAAGATGTTTGTTCGCCATATGATTGTATCTTTGATTTGCATTGTTGAAGCGCTGCACCGCCCACACATTCCTGCACCAATTCTTTCACATCTAGAAGTAAATAGAAACTAACTATCGCACTTATAAATAATATTTTGGTCAAAACATACATTTTTCCGCTTTAAAATCACTTTCATCGAATGCTTTCATGTTTGGCTCGGGCATTTTACTGAAATTACTATCCAAATTGTCGTGCAAGCCCGAAATATTAAATTGAAAAAGAAAACTTCAATGAAAACATCAAAGAAAATAAATAAATGAAAAATTCTGATCGGTTTTATGTTGAAGCGATGACGTTTCTTCTCTTTATCACTCTCAAATTGACAGTTGGTTTCATTACGAAATGACAGTTCATAACGGATGGAATGGCTATTGCTTTCGTGAAATAACAAAATATATTTGTTAAACTATTGCAATAAACTTTTTTTATGTGAAACTAATTTCTTTTAAATAAAAAAATGTTTTTAGACCTGTCTCATTTTACAGACAAATGATATTGTTTATTAACAGTGTATCGTTGTTTACACAGCATATGAGATGGATATACACTGTTTACACATACAATTATCTCACTCTTGCGCCTTTAGTTGTCATACCCGCACACCAAAACACACACGTAACTCGTCATCAGTATTTAACACACTTGTCACAGCTGCATTTTGCTAGCGACCGTCTAAGGTGTTTACTTTGACCTTACGGTTTTTTTGTCTATAAACGCTTTTGTGCAATTAAAATCATTTGTTTAAATATTATATTTTGTTCAATAGATAAATTAAATTAAATTTTTACAAACGCCAAAATTACTGTAGTCGCCGCCGCAGTTATTCGCTTTATATTAAACCGGCTACTTGACAATTAGTGCATTTATATTTCATTTTTATTTGGAAGAATAAGAATGAGTTTAGAATCTAATTTTAAAGTGAATGAAAATTATAGAAATTAAATATTTAAAATGCCTCTTCCGTCCATCACCGTCATCCTTGGTGCAATTTTTATGATTTATGTTTCGTATTCCGTATATACACTATCGCAATTATTTACAACGCTTCAATGTACATCGACGCCGTGCTATACAACGATTTTAGCTAAACTACCGAAATTACAATTGAATTTATTTGTATCGCCGGTCAGCAATCCGCTTACAAACGATGTCACGAAAATCGGAGCTATTGAACATTTTGACTATTACAAAGAGTTGAAGCGGTAAGTTTTTATTTAATTTTCATGCTTAAAAATGTAGCGAATTTAATTTTTTTTCTTTTAATTTATGATGCAGTGACTTTTTGGTAGACATTCCAAGAAAAACATATAGAAATGGTACAATGTATTTACATTTGGTGTTGGTAAATGATATTGGCGTGCAATTCGAATGGCGACACTTAAAACGGGAAGGATTAACCATACTCCAACGTATCGCATTGACTGAATATATGATTCCGCGGCCGGCAACATTTAATTTGCTTAATGAAAATGAGGTGCGTAGATTCTATTTCAAATCACACAGAAAATAATCAAATCATTTCTTTGATCGACAGAAAGAGCCTATAGCGTCCCAAAATCGAAAAACAGTATCGCATTGGAAACCAAAAATTTATGTTACATTATTAACTGATCATTTTTCTGTTTCAAATCAAGACATACCACCGGAAATGGGACCTTTGATAAGGTACGTTGATTTTATTTTAATCGCGGCCATTAATTTAATTCACAAAATGTTATCCTATGCATTTTATACCCATATAATTCATTTGCGGAGTAATTTTGACGGTGGCGGGACTGTGTGGAGTTTGGCGGAGATGACATACGAACTCTGTGTGTACGAGGGTAACAGCACTTCTATGTGTATCATTCTTACGCAGATGATTAGTAACTTAGCTGTGTGTACGGCTACTAAGATGTACGATTGGACAAAATAAATCTATGAACAGCAAAGAACGCTGTTGTACTCGTACACACAGCATTTGCATGCTATCTCCGCTGAACTCCGCATAGTCCCGTCATCGATAAAATTACTCCGCAAATGAGTTATATGGGTAATGGCACAAAAATATGTTTATTTGTAGAATCACGAAAGATAAAGATATTCTTCCCATCGTTCAGAATGATTTTCTTAAAACACGATTGATCGATTTAATTGAAATGAGTTCAAATACAACGAATCTTCCATTGACGTTCACATATACACCGATTAGTATTGGCAAACTTCGACTAATTTTGCATGTGGAACACGCACTCAGAGCTCTGAAGCAATTTGGATTTACAATCAAAGATATCGACGAAGTCAAAGGCATTTTCTCTGAAGCAAACTTGTATTTATTATGTGGTACTATGTTCATTGGTAGCGTTCATGTAAGTTATTTTTATTCAATCGTTCGCCAAATGTCCCGCTCACTTGTGCACACACCATATAATCTGGCTATTTTACGACCGCTGATTTTGACTGATAGTTGAATATTTTGATTACTTTTTGTTTAATTTATAAATGTTTTACATTTTATAGCTTCTCTTCGATTTCTTATCATTAAAAATGACATCTCATTCTGGAGGAAGAAGAAGAGCTACGTGGGCCTATCGTTACGCACAACTTTGTGGCGAACTTTTAGTCAAATTGTAATATTTTTGTACTTAGTGGATGAGCATACATCACTTTTAGTGTTAATCCCCGCGGGTATTGCAACTGTTATAGAGGTAGTTACACATAAATAGTTGCCAATGGCACATCATTATTAAAGAATCGAAATTGATTTTATGGTATATTTTCAAGTTGTGGAAATCGAAGAAAATT